GAAAGAGGGAGGGGGAAGAAAGGGGAAGTTACCAAGGGGCAGGGTAGAGGAGAGACAAATGCCAGGCAGCCAAGTGCAGACAATGAGGAAAAGGGCAGGAGGGGAGGTGTCAGTGGGAGGAGGGGACAGGATGATGCTGGGAGAGGAGAGGGTAAGGGCATTGGGGGCTAGAAGGGGGAGGGGGTGGTGCTGGGAGAAGGCTTGAAAGAAGGGGTGGGCATGAGGAAGGCGGGGATGGAGCAAGTCATGTGTGAGAGCACAGGGGCATGAGGGCAAAGGGGGCAGGGGCAGTAAGGGAAGGGGGAGACACCAGGAGGGTGCAGGGGTAAGGGAAGGTGCAGGTGCCAGGGGATTCTGGGGTGAAGCAGAAGGGCAGACACCTGCAGAGGAGGGACCAGCACCAGAGGAGAGAGGCAGGGCAGGTGTGTAGAGGAAGTTTTTAGGAGAGGGGATGAGGAGGGGTAGCTCATATGATCAGAGTGGGGCTACTGGAGAAGTGGGCACAGGGGGGAGAGAAGGGCTGGTGGAGGGGGGCAGGTCTCAGGAGGGCCGAGAGCAGTGAGAATGGCAGGAGTCAGGACAGCAGAGGAGGGGGAGGGGTTGGGGGGCAGCAGGCACCAGGGGAGCTGATGGAGCAAGGAGAGGAGACATGGCAGCAGAGGGGAAAGGTAGAGGTTTATATTTATTAATAACTTGGGTGCCACAGTGGCACATCCAAACCAGCCACATGAGCTCTGTACTGGTGCACAACACAAAATCCATTCTGCTCATGGGAGGAAACTCTTGGAGGGAACCCTTCCTCCAGCCTCTCCACCCCCGAGTTAATGTCACACACACTGGGTTAATGGCAATTGCAGGATACTTGCATGAGGGGGGTTTGGTGGGGGCCAAACTAATCCCTATTGGTAGAAGGATGGTGGGAAAAGTCCTTAGAGAGGGGACTTTACTTCTGGTCATGTGTCCATCAGAGAAAACATTAAAAACATTCCCACTTCATCACAACAGGTGCAACAGAATAGAATATATTTGATGCACAATGGAATCCACAATGGGTTTGTTCCATGCTTATGCTACTATGGTGTTTGTGTGGATAACCCAGGAAAAAAGGGTTCATTTTTACATTATTTAATAAAATATATATCGGCTTACAGGGCGGGGTGGGGGTGGGGGACTAGACCCATTCTGGGCACCACCAAATATTATACAAACCTGCCACCCCTGGATGTGTTCATGACTTAAACATTTCCAAACTCTCCCATTTTAGTGAATTCTGCCTCCTCTTTCCTTTCCCCCACCTCCCTACCCCAGGTTACAGCCCAATGTCTCTGCACCCACTCCAGCACCCTTGTCCAGGTCACAACCCAGTGCCCCTTCATCCCTGCCCCTGGTCACAACCCCCTCTTACTCCATGTCCCAAATAAGCCCTGTGCACCCCTTTCTTCCTGCCCCTGCTCACAACCCCCTCAGATCCCTGCACTGCTTCCTACACCTTCCTCCTTGTCAGAACCCTCTCCTGCACCCATACCCTTTTCTGGACCCTGCACTCCTTGCTGCATCCCAATCCTCTGTCCCAGGTCACAGCATCCTCCGTCACCCAAACTCCCTCCCTCTCTTACTCCCCTTCTACACCAACATCTATCCAAGATCCTGCACTTCCTCCATTAATATCAGAGAAGAGTGCAGCCCTTGACCATTTACCAAAGTCTCGGAGTAGCCCCCGATAAAAAAATGATTGCTCACCCTGACCTAGATAGATCATCACACTCTGTCTCAATTGAAATTTATTATAAACTCCTGCTCCTGCTCTACTCTCCTTCTGGGGCAAAGAACTGCTTTATCTAGAGCAAGAAAAAGAACAAGAATGAACTTCAAATCCAATGCTGAAATAAAGGTTTGTTGTATGGCAAAGTGTTACAGTTCAGGAATGCAAAAATCTAAAGCAGTTGAAAAGAGAAGTAAGTATTAACCAGAGATCAGAAATGTTCATTAGTAACTCATGGATGACATCATCTTGAAATGACATTTCTACACATCGCATAATTGTTGAGTCCTCTGGTTTAACACGGAGTAAAAATTTTATATTTCTTTTGTACCAGTGAGATTAGAATGTTTTAAGAGTAAATATATTTCACTGTACTTTGAAAGGATACAGTTAAACAGTGTTGCCAAACTGTACAAGCAGTTCTTTTCATTGACTCTTGCACATTTAATCAACTTCAGTTACAAAAGTTGTTTTCCTTGTGGTTGGATTGAAAACATTAACATTAAAAGGAATTCTCTTCTCTTTCCTTGCAGGGATGCTGAATTACCACTAGTGAGAGAGAAGCGCAACTTTCTCTGTGACCTCATGAAAGTGCCGAAGCCGCAGCTGGTATCCAAGGTAGAGTATAGGGTTTGTGCTGTAGAACTTTCCTGCAGAAACTAAATTAAAACCATCAGTTGTTTCAGTAACTATCCTGAACTTGTTAATGACATCTAGAAATCTAAGACCTATGTGGTTGTGCTATAAACCTAAGACTTAAGTATAGAATATATGGAATTGTCTGTCTATATGTTTTTATAAAACCCTCCAATCCCATTCCTAGAAAACATTCCAGACTTCTGGTATAAAACTCAAATTACTGAGACAATGCAATCATGAAATAATGTAGCACAGATGTCTCTGTTTTGAGGGAAAGAATGGTAAGAATTTCCTGTTCAAATTTAATAGCAAAACTAAAATTCCATGACACATGTGACTTCCTATAAATTGATTTTGCATGTAGGACAAAAAGGTCTTGAAAGATTCAGCAAAGTTGTAATCTAAAACCTAATAATAAATAAAGCACCTCTGAGAAGTGACATCTTGCAACAGTAGGAAAGAATGTCCTTGCTTAGGGGAGGGATAGATAGCTCAGCGGTTGGCCTGCTTAAACCCAGGGTTGTGAGTTCAATCCTTGAAGGGGCCATTTAGGGATCTGGGGCAAATATGTCAGGGATGGTACTTGGTCCTGCTGTGAGGGCAGAGGCCTGGACTCAATGACCTCTTAAGGTCCCTTCCAGCTCTATGAGATGGTATATCTCCATATATTATATTATTAGTTTAATATATACATGATGGACCAAATTTGCAGATAGGCAGCACAGTTTTGACTATAGCTCGTCCTTCATAGAAGGAGAACTCTGCATGGTCACAGTAATCTATGCTAAAGAAGCTCTAGAGAGGTTCTTTTCCTCCAGATATATCAAATGGAGGGCCAGAAGATGCTGACTAGCAGGATAAGCAGGCGAAATAGAACCAATGGCAAATATTAAATACACTTGGAGTTCTCCACTCCATTTTCCCAGTAGGTAGGATTTCCTACACGAGCTGTCTGCTGCATCTCATTACAGATCACTAGCCTGTTCAAGATTTGCAAGTTCTCATTTTTTGCCTGTGTGAGACTTGAGACAAAATTCTGTCATTTTGGTATTGCAATGACAGTCCTTGGAAACCAGATGTCCTTGCTTATCTAGATGTCTTAGAGTAGTTGCTCTCAATCTTTCCAGGCTAATATACCCCTTTTGATAATCTGATTTGTCTTGCATATTTAAAAACTTCTTGTTTACAAAGTTTTCACAGCATGATATTACTGAAAAATTACCGACTTTCTAATTTTTGCCATATAATTGTAAAATAAACAATTGGAATATACATATTTTATTTTCGTTTCAGTGCATAGTATATAGTCACTGTATATACTATACACTGTATACACTAGGACTGAGGTTGTGATGGAAATACTTGTTGAGAATCTCTGGTAAGAACAAAAGGGGGAAAAAACCAAGGGTGAGGTTATGGTAGGGGTCAATTACAGACCACCTACCCAGGAAAAATAGGTGGATGAGGGTTTATTTAAACAACTAACAAAAGCATCCAAAGCACAGGACTTGGTAGTGCTGGAGGACTTTAAACTATTCAGGCATCTCTTGGGAAAATAACACAGTAGGGCACAAATTATCCAACAAGTTCTTGGAATTTATTTTTATTTCAGAGGGTGGAGAAAGCTATTGGGGGGAGACGGCTATAAATTTGATTTTTAACCAATAGGGAAAAACTAGTGAAGAATTTGAATGTGGAAGGCAGGTTGGGTGAAAGTGATTGTGTTTCTAAGAAATGGTAGGGGGAAAGCAGCAAAATAAAGAAAGACAATGGATTTCATGTCTGCCACCTCCTTAGTCTTCCTTGTGCGTCTAATAAATTTACAGACTCTGTTCCTGTCTCTAGCTAGACTGAGCTCATTTTGTGCCTTCGCCCTTTCTAATTTTGCCCCTATATACTTGTGTTGTTTATAGTTGTCCTTTGTAACTTGACCTAGTGTGCACTTTTTTCAGGCTCCTTTTTGATTTTTGGATCATTCAAGATCTCCTGGTTAAGCCAGAGTAGTCAGGAGCTGTGTAGCAGGACCTGTGAGGGAAGATTGAAATAACTCGGTTTGTTGAGTCTGGAAAAGCGAGACACGGAGGGGACGAGAGCAGCTTCCAAGTACCTGCAAAGGCTGTTACAAGGAGGAGGGAGAAAAATTATTCTCCTTTATCTCTGAGGACAGGACAAGAAGCAATGGGCTTAAACTGCAGCAAGGGAGGAGTAGGTTGGACATTAGGAAGAAGTTCCCAAATGTCAGGCTGGTCAAGCACTGGAATAAATTGCCGAGGGGGGTTGTGGAATCATCCTTGGAGATTTGTAAGAGGAGGTTCCGCAAACACCTGGCAGGGGAAGTTCTCTTACGCATCACTCCCATTGGCCTGGAAGGTGTGCACTGGTGCAGCCACGCAGAGATTCAAACGCTACCCACCCGATTGGCAGAGCGACCAAAGCTAGGTTTTCTATTGCCACTGATGGCGCACAATTGCACAGGCCTCAATGCGCATAAAGATCTGCACATGGATAGAAAAGATTAGAGGGAACATTGCCTGGGCACTCTACAGGTAGGCATCCCCATCCCCTGCCCCTCCAGCACTGTTCCTTCCTCGGTCCCTCCCTTCCAGCCCCCACACCTTCCACCCACCCCTGCACCCTTCCACCCAGACCCTTCACCCCCACGCCCAGCGTGTTCCTGCACCCTACTTCCCGCCCAGACCCTGCACTCCCAACCTGCTCCCTCCTCCCACACATACAACCCCTCATTTTTTGGCCCTGCTGTAGAGGCATGGGGTACTCCACAAAATCTATCAGCCTCAGGACCCCAGAGGAGTTAATCTGCCCCTGGCTGTAATGGTGCCTCCAGTCCCATGAGGCTGGAGCCTCTTTTTTTTGCTGCTTAGTTGTCTGTGGTCCACACCCCAGTCTTGATGATGGTAGTTATGTAGCCTGTTATAAAACTAAGCAAATATCCAGATGAATTGAGGTACCTGCTTGAAGACCTGAGTACTCCTAGTTGAGAATCACAACCTTAGAGGATGGCCTAGACTTGGCCTACGACCTCCTTGTGATTATTGTATACACTTTAAATTTTGAAATGCTTAATTGATAAGAAATTTTGTCTGGAGAGGCCAGGTGAGTTTTATTCTTAAACTCTTGGAGACTCAGATGAAAAATTGGAAAGAAAAATGAATCTTCCCCTTTGATATAAACAAGATATTATGATGCACCTAAATGTGTGTTTGAGGAAAATTGCAAATACTGTCCTAGGAATCTTTTCTTTGATATCTTTGTATCCCATCAAAGTCAATAAGGTTAAGGGCACAATTTGGTGCTTTACTATTTCTTCCTACTTAAGTTTTCTAGCAATGCTAATTAAAACATTTCTGAACACTTGTTAGACCAAAAAAAGTTTTCAAGTAAACTGCAAAGCTATTCTTATTTCTGCTAGTTTTAACTAATGACAGTCCCATCTGCAACCTACTGAGCATTATTAGTGGAGGAGTTTCACGGCAGTTAGATTCAGTGAGACAAAGGTTTTTCAGAAGGTATATGAGAAAATACGCTGCACACTCAACCTTTGAGAGCTCACTTCATAAAAGTAGAGCACAAACTTAGACAAAGCTAGGCATAACATCGGAATCTTTTCATTTTACAAACCCCTTGAACTTTATTCTTTCTGAAAAACATGTCACTTGAACCAACATTTAAAATATTTCATCTGTTTAAAAGAAAATCTAGCAGATATTTACCATCTTTTAAAATGTGATTCACTTTTCAAACGTAATATCCTTCCGTTTGCTTGGTTGATGACATGAATACAGTTATTACTTGGATTGAAAGTACAGGCAGTCCCCGGGTTACATGGATCCGACTTACATCGGATCCCTACTTACAAACGGGGTGAGGCAACCCCGCACTAGCTGCTTCCCCCCAGCAGACCAGGGAGACGCGGAGCTAGCGCCCCCCCAGCTCCCCCCAGCAGACCAGGGAGACGTGGAGCGGCTTTTCTCAGCAGACACCTCAGCTTGAGAATAAAGGACTGAGGGAAGTGAGGTGTGGGAGAATAAAACTGAGCTCTGGAGAAATGTTTGGCTAGAGTTTCCCCTACAATATGTACCAGTTCCGATTTACATACAAATTCAACTTAAGAACAAACCTACAGTCCTATCTTGTACGTAACCCGGGGACTGCCTGTAGTTGAGTAACCCCCCTAAAAGAAATTTCATGAGTTTTTTGTTTGTTTCCTGTCTGTAGAGAGCAGCACAGTAAAGCAGTTGGTGTTTGTTGCTTTGAAAACTGAAGCGCTCGGGCCCTAGTGTCCATGAAGGAGGAAGTGATCTCTGTTGCAGTATCTTGATGCACTGGAATCTTAGGTTGAGCTACAAAATACAACGATTAACAAAATTAACATGAAGAGTAAAAGCATCGCACAGATATCTCACTGGAAAAGCTGAATGTTTATCAGTATCTGACTACCACATAAAGAAGGCAACAAATATCTACTTTCAATTCTTAAATTTGTCATCGATAGCCACAAGATGGCAGTTTGTCCTCAAGAGCTTTGTCATAATTGAGCTGCTTTTGAATGCCAGTGTTTTGCATTCCATCAGTAAAGCTGAATTAATGTTTCTCTTCTAAAATTTTAGAACTTGTACTTGTGTATTGCATATATTTATAGTTGTAGCTAATGTTTATGGGTCAAGACACACATGCTTAAGATGATGATGTAACAATTTGGAGTGGAAGAGACCTTTTTCATAGTGGCAATACTTAATGGTAATTAAAATCTTTCCTCGTTACCTGCAGGTAAAACCTCTCTCAATAACCTGTTCTTTTATTGCCATCAGCCGACTTATAGTCTGCAAGCAAAAGCAGACAGTCTTCATTTTGGTAAGGTCAAAGCCTAAACTACACAGACACTGCTGAATAGTGTAACTGAATAGTGACTTTGTGCTAGGAGCTTGAGTTCGAGACATCAAGCAGAACCCCACTTTTGTAGCTGAGGAATCAGAGGTGACAGGTCAGTGCTTCCGTCACTGCCCTTACTGCTAGACCTTTTTAAAAACCAGTCATCCATTATCAGCTCCTCTCAGCAGCTCCATGGGCCTCTAAAATAGATCAGTGACTGCAGGCTACATTGAGACTTAACAGGATACTATAGCTAATAAGTCTTTTTATATGTAGTAAACTCCACCCCCATTGTGTATGTTACAACAATTTATAGTGGAATAGCATGTAGCTCAGGTCTTTAAGTAATGGGTCTCTGGGTTTGCTTGGAAAATAAAAGGAAAATGTACGTGTCTTATGTAAATGACTGTATTTCTACCCTCCCTCCCCACAGTCTGGCACAGGTTGGGGTAGGGAGGCCACTTAGCTGGTCTGGTGGCCAACAAAGTCAAGCCTTGTCCCCAGCAGGCCACTCTCTTGCTGGTGTAGTGGCCCAGAGGTCACTCTGAGGATAGCTGTCCCCTGTGCTCACTGCCCCCAGTGGTCACACTACTGGATAGCTATCAGCCCCCTCCCTTTCTATGTTACGGAAAACAGTCCCAATCCAGGCACTTCCCATTGTCCAGACACAACCAACACCTGACCTTGCTTTGTTAGGACGCTGTGTACCACGTTTAGTGGTCCTAGCTCTTACTGTTTAGTAGTTGTTGAACAAACAGACTTGCAGATGGATGGACTCTGACAGATGCACAAACTCTCATTCATATATAGATTATGCCAATTCAGAGTTGCCATAAATGACATGGTTAGCAAGTAGAATAACCACATTTATTATTCACTTTGAACAGCTATTCAAAACCACATCTCCTCTGATATTCACAATTAATCCCTGTTTGTTGTGACAAGAAGTTGTCCAATTAACATAAACACCCACATACGTGCTTGTACATCCAAGAACCTGGCCAGTTTTTGATGTGTGAATTATGAGAACATAACAGCTCTAAACTTGCTTGCTTTAAGCAAAGCTTTTATTCCACTTTACAGTACAGACTTGCAGCATGCTCTGCTCCAATAGAGAGGGTATGGACACTGATTTTTTTAAAACTTATCTGAACTCAGGAGTAGGAGGAGGAACAGAAAGATCTCACAGGCTTTTATTTTGCTGTATAAACCCATTTAATTCTTTTTCTAGATTCATAAGATAAGCTCATTATGTGACTGACTTGTGACAAGTGTATTGAATTGTTCTGTTCCTAATGCAGAAGGGAAGGAGAAATTTCCAAACGCTTGTTGGTTTGGTTTTTGCACAACTGAATAAGCCCAGAAAACAGCTTTTGTTCAAATTTGGGCCAAAATGATTTAGGGCTAGATGTGAAGTATGTACACACGTCAGTGGAGTGGCCCACTACTCTGGAGGACCTGTCTTCACGAAAGGCTCATCCCTCAAGTGCCACTCCTAGAAGGTAGCCATGTAGCTCTGGAGAACAGAGGTTTTCAAACGGGGGGGAGGGGCATAACTCCAGATGAATGTTCCAGGGGCTGAGCGACATTGCCAGGCAGCTTGGGCATTAGCTTGCAGACAACCTCCATCCCTTGATTAGCCTCTTTCTGACTGGGTTGGGGGAGGGTGGGGTTAGCTCAGAAAGTTTGGAAACTGCTGTTGCAGACATAGTCTGGTCCTACCCCCCACATCTCTGTTTCCACTGGTTAAGGGTGCAGATGGCGAGTCATTTCAGACCAGTATTGCTCACATGGCAATATGTGTTCCTTGCCTGGGGCAAAAACAGCACTGGGCCAAATCCAGCCAGAAAGGCAGGAGCCCCACTTGCCCAACAGGGTGAACTTGTTCATGTAAAATGTATGAAAAATTAAGATGGACAGTAGTACAGCTCTACAGACATGTCAAAATATAGTTACATCAAAAAAAACCCCAAAAGATTACTCGAATGTTTAGACTTGGCACCTTGGAGGAGTTAGGGGCACAGACCACTTCCCTCAGAAGTTGACTGGACCAACCGCTCTGAGTGACAGGCACCTGTGTGTCTGAGTATGGAAATTGAGCCATTTCATCTCTCTGAGAAACTGACAATGCAAAATTCTAGTTAAGGGATCACCTTCTCTTGAAAATCTGGGCTGTGGGGGTTAAAGGCGATGCAGTTAGTTACCAATCCCCTTGTCTGAGAGGCCCAGAACACCTTTTTCTGTAGAAAGAAAGCTGCAGCCACTTTTCCATACCGCATTCTGAGCGGCAAAGGATAAACAATAATCTTTTCCTCAGCTTGGAACTGGCAGGCATAAGCCGAAGCCAGAAGCACCGAACATAGCCAGCCACGGGGGAGGGCCGTGGAATGGTGATCTCAGTATTGTTAATCTGCACAGGGAATTATAAACATTGAAACTGGGTTGGGATCCTGAGAACAAGAGTGAAGTGATGCACGTGATTAATCAATTCAAACAGGGTCCACATGGCAGTAGCCAGGAAAGAGAGAGGCAGGCTCATAGTTACAGGCCTCTTTTCTGAAAGGAGCCATTATTAACCAGAAGTTCGGGAGGTGGGAGGCACTCTTCTCCACACAGACTTTATAATTGAATTCTGCACAGCTGGTCCAGGAAGCAAAGGCAGCAGCACAGTTTAATTAACCAGCAAGACAGCACTTGCTGGAAGTCTTTAGAGTCTGAACTTGGTATATTTTTATATTCAATTTGAGTATATTGATGGGATAACATACAGCCTAAGTGGCTCTGGCTGCTGTGAGCCATTTCACGAGACCCCTAACATTCAAGTGTGCAACCTTCCTTCCTGTCCAGCCGAGTGCCATATAGACAAAGAAAAAAGTCATATGGACAGCGGATACTGTATGGCCCCTCAGTATTATGCCATTCTCAGGGTGTCAATCACCAATGGAACAAGAAAGGTAGATACTGATAAGGGAACAACCATAACTAAGACAATTGTTAAACAGTAGTTTAGTTAAACAATTAGGGCAACTAGCAACCAAAATACCTGCTACTAAGCCAGAGTAAAGATTTTCTAAAATAATTAGTAATGTAATTACTTTTTCTAAAGTAATTAGGTGACCTACTTAAAAAACATTAGCGGTGTCCAAATTGTATAAAATGCTATGCAATTCGATTCAGACCTATCTAATGTGTCAAGCTGGGCCCCCAGAATCACTAGTTAAGGTAAGTTACCTCTTCATTGTGTTCATTCACATCTACTAAACCACTAACTGGCATATTTCATCGGCGGGATTGTATAAAGCAGAAGCTGCCTGGAGGTTTAATTCCTTCTTGAGTAAAAGATATAATTTGAGGTCCCTAGTGCAAGAAAAATGTTGCTTCCATGTTAGCAAAAATGGGCTTATTTTTGAAGTATACACAATAGGAGCTGAGTAAAAGCTCTGAGCATCTATATATATTAGCATCTGGCTTCTATATCCACTGAATCACAAGGATGCCATAATTTAGGGACTCTTTAATCCCTTACCACTAGAAGCTCACATAGATACAAAGCAGTAATGCAAAAATGTCACCTCAGGAAACACCAGCTGCTGCTGTCAGTAGCAGCAGATTAACCAATTCCAGGGAATGGCTTGGGGCCCCCGTCCACTCTTGACAGAACCTGAGTCATCAAGGTCTCTAAACACTCTCATTGTTGAGAATGTTTAAACCGATGTGTACATTGTCTGATGTGGCTTTAAGGGTTCCTTATGGTAGCAGCTTGCTTTGTAATCTAATGGAGAGTATTGGATGAGCTATTTCCACCAAGAATATAAGCAGCAGTAACACATTTTGTACACTTAAAATTAGCACACAAAAAAAGTTACATTTCAGAATACTATATTAGATTGCTAAGCCTGTACTGTGCCATATTACCATCTGGTAAATATAGCTATCAAAGGTATCCTGCCTTTAGAAAAGACTACATGATCAGAAGAGAGACACTGGGTGACATTTAAATTGCTAACTACAAAACCTAACCTCTGAATGCAGGTTTTCTTTTTAAACATACACATCACCCAGGATACATAAAGCACCAATTTCACTGCTGTACCTCAGTGTTCAGTTGAAATGATGATAATCTATCCCCTCTTTCAAGTCTAGTGTGTTCAAGTTTTCTTCAAAGGCTCCACCTGTCAGATCCTATGGGATGAGAGACCGCATTAGCGCATTTGGCTGAACCCTATTTCATCACTCATTTAGGATTTATAGACCACTGGAAGAAAAGCCCAGTTGCTGTTATAAAAATATCTATTAAAAAAAAGAGTCGAGACTCTGTTCGTGCACTTTTGCCCCTATGGCTCCCCACATCCATTCCCCACCCCAACCTACCCTCTAAAATTATTGCACTAGTTTCCAAATTCATAAGCTTAGACGTCTTATTTCAAGAAAACAGAAAGCTTTAAAGACGTTTACTTATATCTGAGTTCAAACTCTGTTTTGTTCTTTCCTTCCCTAACTGGTCATGTTCTGGAGCAACCCCATCAAGCCACCTCCCCTGCCCCCACATCAACCTGTGGAAACAAAAACCTTGTAGCGCCAGAAAGAAATATTGGCAGCTTTGAGACTCTTTTCATCCTTAACTCGTGGGGTGAAAGCGGCATGTGCAAGACCTTTTCCAAGCTAGCCCGGGGAAGGGGGGAGTACGGTCACCAGTTCAGATGGCTGCAAACAGCTTACTGTAACTGCTAAGCAAAGTAAAAGGTTTGTACCACAACCAGCTCTGTAGAGGACTAAGTGTGAGTGCTCTTGGTTTTTTAATTACAAGCATCTGAAGGGACTGGAACAAGGAGGCTGTTTAACAAAGCAGTGGGAATTGTGGATTTTACACCCTGATGTGCTTGTCTGATGAAATATACCTTCATCAAGCAACTGGCATATTAACCAGAGGTACAGATGTGTCCTTCAAAGCCTTTTTACTTCTGGACAGGAGCTCTGGGTTTTGTTGTACGCACAATACTGCGAGGTAGTGACACAGAGTCATTAGGTAAACTTGCCAACCTCTGCGTTTCTGATGTGCTACTTCACCTGCCCATAGTCTTTAATTTCACAATTCTTTAAGCGCTTCAGAAATTATTCATTAATCGTGACAATATCCTATAACAGGTGAGGGACAAGCGAGGATTCCTGCAGCCTCCCTTTGAGTGGAACCCAGCAGCTGCATTAAGAGCTTTCACACCACTATGAAATTGCATAGGAAGCCTACCATGCAGCACTGAACCAGCAGGAAGGATTCTGGGAAGCAGAATGCTCAACCGTCCTTGTCAAAATCTGATGAAATAAACTGCTATGGGATCTTTACGGACCATAAACTCCAACTTGTATTTCTCCCCCAGCTGAGGGTACCTCCAGCATCCTATATAATCAAGGGGAGAGTGCCATCAACAGAATCCTTCTCATAGCATCTGAGTAGTCCCGGGAGGTCTCCCATTCAAGCAGTGAACTGTCTTAATGCTTTAGCCCCTGGGATGTGACAATGCTAACAGAAGTGGTGCTAATGTCATGTCTGCAACCTGGATCATTGCTCCTTTGGGGAAATAAATGTTGGCTGCTGTGAGCATCAGTAAAATGATGTTCCTCCACTTCTTAGAGGGTCAGGTTTGTGCTTATGCCTTTTTAAAGAACAGCTCTTCATTCTTTCTCCTGCTTGAACTGACAGATGAAAGGAAACATCTGCAGGCATGTTGCTTCAGCCCCCAAACCCACCCCGTGAACTGTGCCTCCCACCCATATGGCTCTAATTACCTTTTTCAGTTCTTCCACTTTAGTCCGTATGGCACAAAATGTTAAGAATGCTGCTGCTGCTGCACAGTTTCAGCAAGACAGTAACCACAAGCCCCAGTGTATTGACTGACCTCGGGTAATTACTGTGCCAGAGAGTGACAGTGGTAACTACAACGTAATTTACATAGCACCTTTCACCCCCAACGCGTCCAAGGTATTTTATTCAGTGCTTTGTATAAATTGCTTATGTTGGTTCTATGCCACTTGCTGCCCAAACTCTGCTAGCTCTGGGGCAGAACGTGGCAGCTGGACACAGCAACATGAAAGCATTTTGGCAAGGCAGTACAGACGTACCACACCCAGCTGGAAGTGTGAACTAAAGTGAAATGGGGCTATTTCTACAAAGACACTAAACACAGAATCTGCAGAATTCAGACATAAGAAGACTTTTCAAGGAAGTCGCTGCTTTGCAAAACAATGCCCAATCACTCAAAGCCGTTGGAAAGATAAGACCCTTGCCAGAGACTGTCTGAAGTGGGGTGTTGTGACAGTGTGCCCTCTCCATCGCCCAGTCCCTTGCAGTGACCCTCTCCCCAACTACCTGCCGCTGTGCCTGTCCCTGGCATGAAGGGCACAAGAGGGCTGTGCCCTCTTCCGCCTTGCACACCCAGGTAAGGGCCAGGCACAGGATACAGTTAACTCTCAGGCCATCTTCCCCTAGTATCCGGTCACTGCCACAGCACCTCTACTCCCACTCAGGAGGCAAGACAGTCCCCATGTCAACCTGTGCCCCATCTCACAAAACACTCTCTTGCTTACAAGTAGCTTCGGGGCCCTGGTTCATTTGCCGAGCATCCTCTTCACCTGTTGCAATCTGTGGTAGCTGAGACCACTGACAGGTTTTTGGTCTCAAATGAATTGCAAAACTAGGGCCCAGAACCCTCAAGACTCCCCACTCGAGTTAATGGAGAACTCTACATCTATTATATATTTGAGAGAGTTTGTGTCTGCTCAAGAACGCCTCCTAAACGGTAAGCGCTAAACCCAGCAAAGTTGCTAGGCAGCTTCCTCTTATCATGCCTGAGAGCAAGGTCAGGGCTTGGTTGTGCCAGGAAAATGGAATGTGCCTGGAATGGGACAGCCTCTCATAAAACCACACGGAAAAGAGACACAAACACCAGGCAGGTGAACGGGGCTGCTTGGGGGCGTCCCTCCTCTTGGGACTGCCTCAGCTCTGAGAATCCCACCCCCCAGGTACCCTGAGGTAAAGTCCCCCCCATTGATACAGAGACATTGGTTCTCCATCAGGGGGTAAGTTTGCTGCATCCCTCACTTTGCCTGGGGCGCACGGGGCAGCCCCAGCCGGGGAATATGCACCCCTCTCTGGCTGTGCCCACTGGAGCTGCAGAAGTGCCATGGAGAGGCACTTCTCACTTGGCCCCAAGCTGCTGTGGTGAGAGAGGGCTGGTGTAAGTCTTCTCTCCCCAGGGCAGCCTGCATCCTGCATCCTGACCCCTCATCCCATCCCAGAGCAATTATTAAATGACACATGTACATTTTCATTTTATTTTCAAAAAACTAAAAGCTAATTGAGTTGAGAGCCTGAGCACCACCAGGTGAATCTTCTGGTAACAACATATAGCCAAGTTCTGACCTCTACTCTTCACTGCTTCCAAGTCGGGACAGAAGGAGCTCGACGTGTCTCCCACGGCCTGGTCAGAGTTCTGGAGGCAGGTTCATTTTCAAGTTGGTTTTTTTAAAAACTCAGATGCTAAAGCAAACAGGGTGGGCAAATGGAATCCCATCAGTCCCTGAGCAGCAGGTTGGGAAGCTGGAATGAGCTGTGTCTTTACACAGCTGAACTAATTCCAGAGCTGCCAGTAAAGCCTACTGTATTCCACACACTGTAGCTTTTGGCTTCTCACTTGAGCTTGGAAGCAGAAAACCTTTTTCACTTCAAGCACTTTGAATCCAGCCTGAGCTGCAACCCTGTGAGACGGAACCGGAGCCTGAAAGGGCATGCTCCTCTCTGCTACTTTGGGCAAAGTGAGGAAACAAATAATGTAAAGCTGCGCAAGGTTTTTAGGTCTGGGGATAGAATTTGGACAAGGATTTGCTCATTGTGAGAATAAAAACCTGCGTGTGAGTCCCCTCCCTTTTTCCGATGGATTTCAGCTCTACTACTTTGGTCTTAATGCATTAGCAGCTTTCACAAATGGAGCAGGGACTGCGTCATGTAGCTTTTTCTTTCAAGAACTATAACTCCAGTGAGCAACCAAGCACTACACTCAGTAAATGGTTGTCATGGAAGTGCCACAAAAACTATCCATTTATTACAATTATCTCATCTTCTCAAGTGCGCAGGCATGAAGCATGCATGTTTCGCAGCAGCTACAATCTACAGGGAAACTGAAAAAGATCGGTTACTTACCTCGTAACTGTGGTTCTTTGAGATATGTTGCTCATGTACATTCCATGTAGGTGTGCGCACATCGTGGGAAACGTTTCCCCTAGCAGCACCTGTCGGGCCAGCAGGG